TATATTGTTGTAATTGCTTCGAGGATGTAATAATTTTTAACTTAGGACTTTATTTATTTATTTATCACTTTTATTTACTTTTCGCATTTAATTTTAAGGGTTTGTTTTTGGCGATGTAAATACCCGACGCCTTGTAATAGCTTAGATTTATTTTTCGCAATTTATTTTCCGCAACCCTTAACTGCTAGATGTTTGATAGGCAATGCATGACAAGATTAATTCTTAATTTAAAATCAACAATAGCTCACCATAACATGTACAAAGATAATATATCTGAAAAACAATACACTCACACATGTCACTCTTAGGGTACACCTCATTTGGTTGCCTCGAACGTGGTCATTGAGTATAGGAAGTCTTAGAGGTCGCCCTCTTGTCCAAAGATCATAGTTTCCTCGAAACGGTTGCCTCAGATAAAAATGATCTAAGACATCAGGGTTACCGCTAAGGCGTCCTAACATTGCTTTAGTGGCCACACGTCCCTTAAATCGAATTGACCCAAAAACTCCAACGACGGTGCTACCTACTCCTCAATAGTAGGATAGAATTGTCTAAAGGACATTTGCACAGTTTAATTCCTTTTTGAGTAGGTAGAGGTTCTTAAGTACTTGCTCTTTTGAAAACAAAAACAAAACTTTTCGCACTTACACCCCTTTTAAAACAAAAACTCTTTTCAAACTCACAAACACAAAGAAAAGCAAAATTTTGAAAACATAGTGAGCAAGTACCTAAGAGCCCGTAGATAACCACGGATAGAAAGGGTGCTAATACCTTCCCTTTCTATAATCTACCTCCCGAACCCGAGAAACATCTCGAAAAGGAAGTTTTCTGTGCTTTTGTCCTTTCCTTGTTGGATAAAATAAAAGACGGTGGCGACTCTTGCTTACCACGACATTTTGCAAAAACAAACGCAAAACGCGAACCAACATTCTAAAACAGTCAGTTCTCATTCCCACTGATCACACTTACGGCAATGACGATGTTGTTGTTGTCTTCCTTCTCGACGGTGATAACTTGGTTGGCGTACTCTTCCTTCTCGATGTCATAATCGTGATGGCCTTGTCAACCTTGACGACGATGAAGAAAATGACAAATACACAATGCATAATGGATACTGGAGAGACAAGCTAGGATGAACGATGGTGTTTTGGTTGAAATTGTGTATTGTTTCACATTATTGAACGTTAGGGTTTAGGGTTGAAATCATGTATTGTTTCGTCTATTTTCTTTTTTCAATGGAAAAAAATACACTGAAGAGACAAGCTAACTAGGAGTGTATAATATTATAAAGATACCACCACGGTCAAAACTAGAAACTGTTATGATATATTACTTTCATATGAAATTTCATAAAGAAGCGCCAAATTTTAATTTACAATTAAAATGTTTAAATAAAAAAACAAATTAAATTATATTACAATGGTGGAATGAACCAACCGTAATCATAACCCTTTAAGTTTTTTATTTAAAAATAAATAAAAAAGAAAAAGGCGCGCCTTAATATTAATGGAATAATATATATGATGACGCTGAGGTTCGAACCAATGACAACTTAACTATTTCACCACGGTTGGCTCATCAACCGTTGTTATATGCAATTAATTTTAAATCAAAAAACAAAAATAATATGAGAGCCCCTTAGTTTAGAGATGTCACCATGGTGTATGTAAGAACCATAGTGAACATGGCGTTATTGTTTACGCATTTTGTAGTAGTGTGTCAAGCTTCTACTTTCTCTTATGATGTTTCTTCTCATCAGAATATAAGGCTTCTGACTTCTGAGAACTACCACCATGTCTCTTCTTGGCTTCTGACCAAGAATGCTTATGGTCCTTCCTGACAAAAGAAGCTTTCAAAGCCTGCTCTACCTCTCTTTCAGAGGTTCTCTCAATCAGACGAAATTCTTGCGGCTCTAGACTTCTTTGCAGCTCTTCAATTCCCATGGTACTCAGATCTTTATAATGTTCAATTGCTACAATAATGTAATCAAATTGAGGAGTAAGAGACCTCAATATCTTTTCAATGATTACTTGTTCAGAGAGATTTTCTCAATACAATTTCATCTCATTTGTAATTAGAATCACTCTAGAGATGTAATCTGGTAGCTTCTCATTATTCTTCATGTTGATATTCTCATATTGTTTACATAAAGATTGAAGCTTCACATTCTTCACTGATGCTTCATCGTCGTAACACCGTGTCTGTATATCCCATACAACCTTTGTCGTTATCGAATCAACAATTTTCTCAAACGCATTCGCATCCATACACTGATGGATGTAAAACAACATCTTTTGGTATTTCTTCCTCGTATCTCTCTGCGTGGTTCTCTGTTCCTCCGTCGTATCTGTTGCAATTGGAACATAACCTTCAGTGACAAGATCAAGCATCTTAAGCACTGAACAACACACACATTTGAATCATCTATCGATTTTAATTCTTCCCATCAAACACCGAAAATTTAGTATTTAAAATGCTTTCGCTATTCATCTTTGTTAGTATGCACTGAAATTTAAACAAACCTCGAATCTCACCAAACACTCGTGTTTCTCGTCCCTGCAAAATCAAGAAATGCAACCCTGTTGTGATTTTGACCGTGAACTCAACACGAATTCATGAACAACGAAATCAATTACACACGCCTCAGGTACACTCGTGTTTTCTTGTGAATCAAACCAATGCTCTAGATATCAATTGTTGGTGCACAAAATATTGAAGATGAAAAAAATGTAGATGAAAAAAGAGAGAGAAAAGACGGCTACCACAAACTTTTTGAGGAAGAAATTTTATAGTAAAATCTTACTAAAACCCTAATTACAAAGTTGTTTATATACAGAAAATAAACTACCACGTAGGCACTAGCAAAAGTAAACTAAATAGCTAAGCTAACAAAACAAACCAGGACCCCAGAAACTAAACATATTTCTGGGACGCAATCTCCGAAGCTTCTACTTCGGAATAACATAAATACTTTTGAATGTGAATTACTTCTAACAATTTTAGGCTAAACACTTAAAGTCTATAATTACCCGACAACCTGAATTAGATTCTTAGTGATGGAGGTCGAACATAACTAGCGTGTACTCGGCTAAATCTTGCTATATCAAACGAGGCCATATCAAACGAGAAGACAACACGAAAACAATTATTGATATCAAATGAAACATAAAAAATTAGATGCTCGGATTACAAGTGAGAGGAAACATACTAAAGAATAACGATATAAGATGTGTTTTCTCTAACTTCCTAGAATCTTGCAACCATCTCTTTTTTTCATTTTAGGTTTGCAAATGAGGTTTGGGTAAAGGTGCATAAATGGATACATGTTAGTAGTGTTAAATAGAGAAGGCATGTCTAATTTTTTTTGTGATTGCAATATATTTAGGATGTGTTTGGTTTATAGTAGATGGAGGAATGGTGAGGGGAGGAGAAAAGAGAAAATATTTTTAATTAAATGTGTTTGGTTCAAATTTTATGAGGAGAAGGGAGTAAAACCCTTTTAAAACACTTTTTTTTGTATCTTCGAACAAGGAGATTATGAGGAAAGTGGAGGAAATCTGAAATTTAATATTTAAAAAATTATTATAATTACTATAATATCCTCAATTTTATTTTAATATTTCAAAATTATTCATTTTCTTTTGTATTAGTATTTCTCTTTTTTTTCTATATTAAATAATAAATTTTGTTTTGTTTTTATTATTTAATATAAATATTTAGTTATTTAATATAAATTATATATAATATTTTTTGTGTTTTTGTTATTTAATAATAATTTATTTTATGCATTTCGTTTATTAAATGGTTCATCATGATTTAAAAATAGTTATGAACACATTGTTTAATTAAAAATATATATAATTAAAAAAAAATCCTCACTTCCTTTTCCTTTCCATTCCCTTCATTAAAATTTTTCCCCTCCCTTCCGCTCTCCGCTCCCTCGTTTGAACTAAATAGACCCTTAATCATAGTCAAATAAGTTGGTAATTCTGAAATTGTGATTGCGGTCTTTTGGAACAAAGCATGCTGTGTTTTGTAGTGATCAATAGAGAATCAATGCAGGAGCTATACGATAGCAAGAGTGGAACTTGTACAACCCTTGACAGAAGATGGCTGTTGTTTCTCACTTTGATGCTAAGCTCAGAGTGACAATATTGTAAGTGTTAGAGTACCCTTTGTCATCGTTTTAATTCTATCTGCTTATAATTTAAAAAAAAACGACCTTAGGAATATTTGAATCTATCCTTGCAATTATAGTTAAGGTTTTAAAATCGGTGTCCAATTTTGGTTTAAGATGAGTTTGAATATATTTCACAGTTACTAGTAGAGATATAGACTAAGAAATTACATCTGACTATTCTTAAGAAAACATGTATAATTATAGTGAATCCATGCTCCATGAACTTGTGATCCTGGTCGATTATTTACCATATATACAGTATTACATAAATGCTACTACAAACAGAAATGTTTTGAGTACTAGAAGCATAAAACAATCACTTTCAAATCTCTGGCTACATCAACTACTTGAATTCTTGTTTGCATGTGTCTCCATTTTCCAGCTCCTCATCATCAACCTTGCCTTACCCTGTAAGTTAAGGAAAGTTATGGAAATAACAAACATCAATTATAACAACTCATGGAAATAACTAAGAGGTAACTAGGTGATGCCATTCTAAGGTGCCAACATGGTTGATAGTTACCTCCAATTCAGTGTTGTTAAAATGGCCGAAAGATTACATTACATTGTCTATCATTTTCAATTTCAGCTCTAACTTTATGTCTTTAAACAAGAAAATAGTTTAAGAGGGGAAACACTTACCTCATGCACACACAAAACTATTTATACAAAAGAAATATTTTGAGAGTGAATACCAAATTAAAAGTCACAAAATGTTATGTTTACCTTCATTCCTTCAGCTGTCTTTGTAGAATTTCAATTGAAGTGATTTTCATGCGAGCAATCATGGGCCAGTACTCACCAGACTTAGGCTGACATTTTAGGTATAATTCAGGACAATCATATATATATACAAATGTTCAAGGGCGGTGAGGCAATGGAAGTCACTTGGAAAACTCGACAACTGAGGGCAACGAGAAATCCAAAGTCTCTTAAGACGAGTCATTGTTGTTAGACACTCGGGAAGTGTTTTAAGATGGGGAAGTTCATAAACTTGTAAGGTCTCCAAAGTATCTACAACACCTTTAATCCAACTAGGAATTGTCAGAAGCCCGGTAAGTCTTGCAATATATAAATGGTTCATCATGAATCTTTGGATTGGGTTTTCATTGTACAATGACAAATTTACCATCTGACACTTTGAAACTACTAGAGTTTGTAATTTTGGAAAAATAAAGAGAGGCAAGGACTCTAGACTACCACATAATTCAACAATCAATGTTTCTACTGAAATGAGCTGTTGTGTCTCGCTGAATAGAAACTTCATATTATGACACTTATAAAAAACCAAAAGTTGAAGGTGGTTCAAGTTTGCAAATAATGTGAGTGGCATAATTGATTGCTTTGTTGTTATAAACAATTCCCGAAGGCTAATCAACCCCCCTAGCCATTGAGGCAATGTTTCAAGCTCCACGCATCCGGTGAGTTTTAAGACTTGCAAATTATGGAGATTGCAAATAGAATGAGAAAGTCTTCTGATTTTTTTATTATAACAAAGGTCGAGATATCGCAAATGCTTCAACTTAGAAAATGAATTAGGCAGAATCTCAAAGGAAGAATATTTTAAACTTAAATATCGCAGATATTTGTATCTTGATATCCATGTATCCAACAAAGTTCCCTTGTCAAGGCCCTTTACTTCGATCGGAAATAATAGAGTTCTCAAACTTCCGGACTTGGGGAACAAAACATTGTGTATTGAATTATTTTCAACAACGGATAAGTGTCTTATGTGTTGAGGTATATTCCTAGTACGCGAGTCCACTGCTACACACTCCTCATTTGCAACATACCGAGCAAGATCATGTATCAAGGCATGTAGTTTAAACGAGACAAAATAGCCTAAGCTTTTGAAATCTTGAAAAAATAATCTAGAATTTAACTCGTCTATATATTCTCTTGCAATATCCATTAGTTGTTCACTTCCATTTCGAGATTGTACCAATCCAAGAGCTACCCAAAGCCGAACTATATCATTACTAAAGAATGTATAATCTTTGGGATAAAGAGAAAAGTAAACAAAACATCGCCTCAAATAGGATGGCATTTGATCATAGCTTAACTTTAGTGTAGGTAAAATATCACCTCTTTTCTGTTCTATGCTGCTTAACTCAGAATCTCTCACATATACCCACTTATTTAAGTCATATTTTGAGAACAATGAACTTCCTAATGTTCTAACAGCAAGTGGAACCCCTGCACACTTTTTTACGATTTCTTTTCCAATCTCCTCAAGATCTGGATATTTAATTACTTCACCTTCCTTAAAGGCCCATTTGAGAAACAAAGAAAAACAATCATCTTGAGAAAGGCCTTTCAAAACATACGAGGGAAGAGTACCTATCACTGAAGCAACTGAGTTGCTACGTGTCGTCGCTATGATTTGACTTCCTCTTGCACCAGCTTTAACAAAGTTTATCAACTCAATCCACTTTGCACGATCATCATTCCATATGTCATCTAGAACAAGCAAAAACTTCTGACCCGAAAGTTTATGTCTAAGACGACTTTGCAGTTGCTCAATATCTAAGTTGTTGATGTTTTCTTGGTCAACAAGAGCAACACTCCGTGGAGCTGAAACTGAAGCCAAAGTGGAAGCAGAAGCAGAAGCAGTGTTGATGATTTTAATAAGTATTTGCCTCAAGTCAAAATCATCATAATCAGAGATACAAACCCACATCTTCATCATGAAAAGTTCATCCATCCTCTTATCATTGAACACAAACTTTGCGAGTGTAGTCTTTCCCAAGCCTCCAATTCCTACTATGGAAATAACACACAAACTTTTATCACCATTTCCCTTAGGATATGGTTGCATCAAAAGCTTGATAATTTCTTCCTTATCGTTCTCTCTCCCAATTACATCAGAAGCATCAACATGGGAATGAGTCGATTCTCTCCTTTGCAAAACAAGTGGAGGACCAACATCAATATTTGCAAGACCAAACTTGTTCCCATCAGTTGCTACCTTATCTAATCTTTCCTTAATATCTTTGATTTGGTGCGCCATCATAGGACGTAAAACAATTGGATTAGAGGAAGAAAACAATTGGCGTACCTTCGTCCGAGTGCTGTTAGAAGCTTGGGCAACTTGCTTCCTTTTGTGTTGGAACTCAAATCCATCAAAGACATCTTCAGCATCAGAGCAGATGTTTTGAATCTGTCTCATCCATTCACGCACCCCATGCTTTTGGTCCTTCTTATACTCAGCATCCAACAAAACACCTCTGACAATTGACAAAGTGTCTTTCATATGTTGTAGATCATCGTACACACCATAGCCTCGAGAAGCTTCTTCATAAGCATAAGAAGCAAGCTTTCCTAAGAGTGAGTTAGCAATATGGAAAACAAATGATTCTGCCATATGGAAATGTAAATTGGAAAAAGCAGAAATATAAGTATGTAGGTTGTCGTAATATTGCATTCAGATGCAATACTTGTTCATATATGCAATAATACTTGCTTGTTATTTCTTTATTTACTCAAGAAACTAAGAATCAAATAAGTGATTTTAATTATTATAAATAAATTTACAAAGTCGCATCACTAAATTATTTAACAGTAAAACAAGTGTACAATGTGAATAACAAGTTGACTAGTTTGTTTCTAAAATTGATTTCTTCTCATTAAATATAATTATTTAGTGTAATTATTTATATAGCCTTGTAACCTTTATATACATAAGAAAGAAGAATGAGAAAGACATTAAGTCAAGAATTATTGACACGGTATCAGTAGGTTTTCGATCAAACTTGTAAGTTTTAGGTTAATCTTGGATTTATTCAGCGACACCCCTGCTCTTACAATTAATCTCGGCAGATCTCGGTTTTCAGTAATCTCTTCCAGACTTGCCATTGTGATCTTTGGTACAAGCATTTTCAGTTAGAGTTAGAGATAGCTAATTACAAATAAGGTACCTTGTCTGTTCAAGAATACTATTCTGGTTTTTTGAATCTGTGGACATAACACTCTTCTATTATACATGCTGATGTTCCCAAGACTTCTCTCACGGTTGTTCAAGAGGTCTACAACACAAGTGTTAGAATAAGATTGGTTCTGATCATATCTCAGAGTTTTGATGATAGCAATAAATTATATTGTATATAATTGATACTCTGATGAACGTATTTAACTGTTTCAGATAATGTTCTGACAGAAGCATCTTGAAGTGCTGAGCTGAAAATAAATGAAGAAGTTCTTTGATGAAAGAACTATTTATTTTAAGCGCAAGTGTTGATGCTGATGTTGTCTCTGATAATGTTCTGACAGAAGCATCTTGAAGTGCTGAGCTGAAAATAAATGAAGAAGTTCTTTGATGAAAGAACTATTTGTTTTAAGCGCAAGTGCTGATGCTGATGCTGTCTCTGATAATGTTCTGACAGAAGCATCTTGATGTGCTGAGCTGAAAATAAATGAAGAAGTTCTTTGATGAAAGAACCATTTGTTTTAATTCAAGTGCTGATGCTGACTCTGGTAAGATAATTATTTTATTATATCTTCTAACGCTTAGCAAGTTTCTGTGTAAGCTATGTTTCAGAAGATATTTGAAAGCAAGTGTTGTTCAGAAGATATTTGAAAGCAAGTGTTGTTCAGAAGATTTTTGAAAGCAAACGCTGATCAGAAATACTTAGCAAGCAAAGCATTGTTTAGAAGATATGCAAGCATGTTCTGAATTCAAGACGTGAAGCAAGTTCTGAAAGAATGCAAAAGCTATCAAGTCTTGTCAAGCTTCAAGAGACAAGTTCTTACATAGTGCCGTTTGCTCATTTAATGCAAAGACGGCTACATGCACTCGAGTGTCTACGCTAGTGCATTGAAAAATGGAATAGTGCAAGGAAACACACAAACATTTAATGCTCTCCATTTGAAGGCAACAACGGTCATGTTTCTTCATGCTATATATAAAAGAACATTTATTGCAAGCCAATAAATGAAATATTGCAAAAACGCTGAAAGGCTGAACAACTGAAGTTCTGAATAGAACTTAACAATTTCAAAAGAAGCAAGAACAACGTGAAAGATTCTGGGCTCACAAACGAATTCATTATTCATACACTTTATGCTATAATATTCTTAGTGAAAAATCACAGTTGTGATATAGCTTTCTTAGAAGCAAACTTTATTTCACTATCTGTAAAAATTTATATCTTGTAATTGTTCCTTGAGAGACCAAGGTTGGTCAGAATTCTCAAGTAGACTAGGACTATTTTAAGTCTTAGTGGTGTGAGTCACTTGTAAGATTACTTGTGCATTGTTAGTCACAACAATTGTTGTGTGATTGTAATAAGTTGATTATAGTGGATTAAGTCCTTGTTGAGAAAGGCAAAATCACCTTGGCGGGTAGACTGGAGTAGTTTGAGTTCAAATGAACCAGGATAAAAATAACCGTGTCTTTCCTTTATTGTTGTGCCTTTAAGAAAAAGAAAAAGAAAAACTTATTCAACCCCCCCCCCTCCCCCCTCTTCTAAGTGTTTTCTCCACCTTCAATTAGTATCAGAGCTTGATTCTGAGCTCAACACTTAACTGTGTCAGGAAAAGATCCAGAAGAAAACACAAATGGCTACTGAGCAAAATAACAATAACTACACCAGACCTCCAGTGTTTGATGGAGACGATTTTGATTATTGGAAAGATAGACTAGAAAGTTTCTTTCTAGGTCATGATAGTGATTTATGGGATATAGTCTTAGATGGTTACAAACATCCTACTGACTCAGAAGGAAATATGATTGATAGGAAAAATATGGATAGACAACAAAAAGCTGATTTCAAAAATCATCATAAAGCTAGAAATATTTTTCTAAATGCTATCTCTTAAAGTGGAATATGAAAAGATTACAAATAGAGATACTGCACATGATATGTTTGAGTCTCTTAAAATGACTCATGAAGGAAACGCTCAAGTGAAGGAGTCTAAATCTCTGGCTCTCGTCCAGAAGTATGAAGCCTTCAAGATGAAAGAAAGTGAATCTATAGAAGATATGTTCTCAAGGTTCCAAACTCTGATTGCTGGCTTGAGAGTTCTGAACAAGGGATATTCTAAGGCAGATCACGTTAAGAAGATCATCAGAAGCTTACCCAGAAGATGGGCACCTATGATCACTGCTTTCAAAGTCTCAAAATATCTGAACAACGTGTCTCTTGAAGAACTCATCAGTGCTCTCAGAAGTCATGAGATAGAACTTGATGAGTACGAGCCTCAAGAGAAAGGTAAGTACATTGTCCTTAAATCAATTATAAAATATGAAACTAAAGCTTTTCAGGGTAAAGAAGAAAACTCTGAAGAATCTGCTTCAGAAGAAGATGAACTATCCTTGCTCTCCAGAAGGATCAATCAGCTGTGGAAGCACAAGCAGAAGAATTTCAGAAACTCCAGAAGAACAGGAAATGACTATGAACAATCCTCTGGACACAGAATATCAAGTAACAAAATCATTACCTGCTATGAATGCAATAAACAAGGTCACTACAAAAGTGAGTGTCCAAGGCTTCAGAAGGAGAAACATAAAGGGAAGTTAGTTAAGGAAAAGAAGAAAAGTCTTATGGCAACATGGGATGATTCTGAATCTTCTGAAAATGAAACAGAATCAGAAGATGAACAAGCCAATATAGCTCAAATCGACAACTTATCAGATGTCTCAGAATCCTCTGAATCAGAATCAAAATCAGAATCAGACACTGAAGAGGTATTCCCTGACTTCACCGTTAATTTCACTAAAGCTGAACTAGGAGAAAGTCTGAGTGAAATTCTGGAAAGATATCAGCAGCTTCGAGTCAAATTCAGGAATCTGAAAAAGGATCTTGATTCTGACTCTGAAGTAACTGAGAGCCTGAGATCAGAAAACTCTGAGTTAAAAGAAAAAATTTCAAAACTAGAAAATGATCTACAAAACTCTCAGAAGGAAATAATCTCAGAAGATCCTAGTAATGCTGATAAGATCATAAAGAAATATGATCAAAGCTTTCAGAAGTTTCTAGCTAAAAACATAGATAGAAGCAAAATGGCTTCAATGATCTGTGGAGTTAGTAAGAAAGACAGAATAGGTATAGGATACAAAGGCAAAGTAACTCAGCCTAAGAAAGTTAGGGATCTGGTTATCAAACGCACTCCTCTCTATTCTCACTTCACCACTGGGCACACACATCATATTAAATATACATCTCACTCTGGAAACTCTTATGCTAAACCAAAGTTCAAACAGAACTTTAAATACTCTAACCTAAGAGGACCCAAAAAGATATGGGTACCAAAAGACAAAATCATCTATGTTGCAGATATTTTTAATAGCAAGGTTGATACTCCAGTACTAACACCTGGACTCTGGATTCTCTCTACTCATGAAGGAAAGAAAGCATATGTTCCAAGGCCTGGAATCTAAAAGATTCTAAGGTTTCATAGGTAATCAGAAACAGAAGATTACTGGCTCTGAAACTATTGGAAACAGGAATGGAAATACTACATTTGAAACTCTGAACAAAGCTTGTTGAAAAGGAAAGTTTTCAGAACTTTCTTTTAAATCATAAAAAGTTGATTCTTCCTCTAGGGCACTAGAAATATCTTAAATTTCAATCTTTTTGAATGTACGTGTTTTTATTCTGAACAAGTTGATTCTAAAGCACAAAGGTGTTTTCTGCTTGGATATTCTGAACACTCAAAAGGCTATAGAATATACAACACAAAAACTCTGATTGTTGAAGAATCAATCAAAGTCAGGTTTAATGATAAGCTTGGCCAGCAACAGCCAAAGAAAATTGAGATTTCTGTAGGTACAGAAGATCATCCCTCAAACTCTGAAGCTAAGAAAAAGTCAGAAGAAAAGGAAGACTCAGAAGACCACCCTCTTGACAATGCTCTGGATAATCTCAGAATCTCTGAACAACCCACTCAGAAAAGGTTTCCTAGAATCTCTTTAGCTCACAAAGAAGACGTGATTATTGGGAGAAAAGAAGATCCCATCAGAATAAGATCCTCTCTCAGAATCAATGAAGAATCTTTGTTTGGATTGGTATCTCTGATTGAGCCAACTTCTATTGATGAAGCTCTGGAAGACCATGATTGGATCTTAGCAATGCAAGAGGAACTCAATCAATTTTCCAGAAACAATGTATGGGATCTAGTTCCAAGACCCAAAGGATTCAACATTATAGGAACCAAATGGATTTTCAGAAACAAACTAAACGAGCAAGGAGAGGTGATCAGAAACAAAGCACGACTGGTTGCACAGGGTTATAGTCAACAAGAAGAAATTTATTATAATGAGACCTTTGCCCCAGTCGCCAGGTTAGAGTCTATTAGATTATTAATTTCTTTTGTTGTTCAAAATAATATTTCATTATATCAAATAGATGTTAAAAGTGCATTTTT